ATAATGGTTGATAGTTCTCAAATCTTCAAATGCTGGTAAGGTCTCTTTATATAGACTTGAAAATAAGACTGTTGGTAGTACGAAAATGTTGCTTTCACTTGCCATCTACAGTAACAATAGTATTTCATCGTGGGAGACAACATAGTACAATACGTAAGCAAGTAGTGGAATATTTTAATCGTATTTATTATATTGTCAACTTCGTGACTAAGTTTCTTAAGACTTTATCTTTTGATGATTTACTTCTGACTTAAAGTAGTAAGCTTGGAAGATGTCTCCTGATCTTTATCTTTGTCTTCTCTTTTTCTTGCTGGATTGATTCTGATATGATGATGAAAGTGATCCAGAAGATCATTGTTGTACAGCCAGAACATCCACTTCAGGTTATGTCATCTACTTTGAAGGTAACCTGGTGCCTTGGCTTTCTAAACGACAAAGTACAATGGCGTGCTCATCCGCCGAGGCAGAATACCGCTCGGTAGCAAATACAACAAAGGTAATATGGTTATTTAATCTACTCAGTGAACTTAGTGTCAAGACAAACACTCTAACATTATATTGCAACAATGTTTGAACTACTTATCTGTGCTCTAACCCAATCTTTCACTCAAGAATGAAACATATTGCCCTTTATTAACATTTTGTGGAACAACTTTTTCAAATGGGACATCTTCAAGTAACTCACATATCCACAAAAGATCAACTTGCATGTGAACTTACTAAGCGATTATCTAGAGCCAAATTCACTCTTCTAAGATACAAGATAGGTGTTGTTGACTACGACACTATCTTGTGGAAGTGTAATAGGTACTAATCAACATTAATTCACACAATATCCTTGGTCCTGAAATTATTTCCATAGATAGAACTTGTAATTACTCCTCTGTTAAAGAATAATATTATATAATTACATAATATTATGTAATTAATTTTAGTTATTTCTCCTCCTAAACTTAACCATTATATAATATAAGAATAATATTATATAATTACAATATAATATTATGTAATTAGTGTTAGTGTTTTCTCTTCTCAAACTTAGCCATTAGTTATTAATTTTCTTATTGTAACATTAAATAATAATGTTTTAATTATATTTGATATCAAATGATACAATCTTTTATTGATGTAAAAAAAAATTACAACACATTGAATATAATTCTTATAAAAGTAAAAAAAAATTTAACATTAAAAGTTCTTAATGTTTGGAATATTTTCCAAAAAGTTTAAAAATATAAAATGTCTTGTATTATTAAGACAGGAGAAATGTAGAAAATATGTTTCATTGTGGTTTAAAGAGACTTAAATTGAGAAGTAAGTAACATTCAAATTTCCAACCAATTTCACATGTTATAATTATAAAAGACAAAAAAAAATCAATTTTCCAACCGATTTTATATGTTATAAAAAAAAGTGAAAATCATACGTTCCACATTAAAAAAATCGAAAAGTTGTCATTTTTTTGTTTTGATACTTATCATTCTTTGCATTTGCTTTATGAAAGGTGTGAAAGGGAACGTTAACAAAATTGACTTTTTTTGCTTAAGACCGAAGAGGAGGATATTTTGGAACGGAAGTAAAGCTGTGGGGCCGGTTTCGAGGCCCTTTGGTAAACAAAAGGGGCAAAAATTGAAAGAAATGGCAAAAACAAAAAGAAAACCGAAAATGTTATATAGTCTGCATCAAAACGCGTCTCATTTTTGTGACTCCGCTCTTCTTTAATTTTCTATCTCCGTCGCATCTCCATCTCCATCTCCAAAATTATTTTTAGTATTGTTAAAATGGATCCGACCCATTAATTCAACTCATAAGCTCTATATTTTAACATGGACTGGACTATAAAAAGGTATAAAAAAACGTAAAAAAAATATAAAATCTTTTTAGACTAGTCCATCGAACCTGTGTTTTTTTGGACTGGACCGATCCATTAAACATATTAAAAATAATAATTTGTTTTGAAAAAAAACAAAAAAGAATAACTGTTTTTGTTAATTTTAAAGGGAAAATGGGCTAAAATATATTTAAGAAAAGCCCAATAACAATTTTAAAGAGAAATTAGGTTTAAAAACACTCTTTTTATTTGAGAATTTCTTATGATACTCTATATAGGAGAATTATAGCTTATGCAAAACCAAAAATATTTTCCGGAAATGCATCTCAAAAGCGCACATTTTTTTTTGAGAAATCTTGTTTGAAATCGGAAATGTATTTACGGTTTGATGTCGTATATACATTTTCGGTTCCTGCATATACAGTTCAGAACACATTATTGTGCAGACTTTGGTGCATATTTACAAAATATAAAATACGATTTCGATTAAATAAGAAACGATTCCAAAAATATATACAAATGTTGATAAATATTATGTTCCAAAATACGTACAAAATACAATACACAAAATATTCCTCAAAGTGTTATACAAATAATCCAAAACATGAAAAACATAATAGTATAAAAAACAAAAGTCATCTAAAACTATCAGACTACCGAGTATGTCGGATAATGAATCGGCCCGTGATTTTCCCGATATTCCTCCACTATCGTCTGTAACATAGATCCTCCCCAGCCTCCACCATGATGGCATGCAGAACACCTCTAAACATTGGATCCATCAGGAAACAGACCCCTATCAATACCATCCCGCACAATCTCCATGATACAATGACACCTAAGCAACACGTCAATGACATGGTCGGCCTGTGAGTGCTCCTCCTATAGAATCTCCGCATGTACTAGTCTAGGTGGGTTACTTAGAGCCTCATGTACCAGATATGTATGTGATACCCAGAAGAACCATGAGATATATTCATCCTCATAGCTCCAATCTTTTGGAGCTATGGTACTTCAGGCCTCATCTGACACGAGATGGTTAAGATAATCATCAAACATCTCATCCATATCCCTCTGTTTCACCATGAGAGGGACACACTTAGAAGGGTGTCTGGGAATGTGTTGCATGTATCCGAACTACTACATCACACACTCAGGCAAATAAGCAGTCGTCTTGCACGATCCGTATGCCAACCACCCAGTGAACAATAAAATGTCATCAAAGGGAACCGTTTCATGGTGAGCCTCATATGCATGAAAGCATATATCCTCATAGGTCAGGCGGTCTATATACACCCTGAATGGCTCTGTCGCCTGGTTCCCTCGTATGAGATCAAATAAAGCGGCACATGGAAGGACCTCAGTATATGTAAGCTTAAGTGACCATTCAGACATGTGAGGGGAATGCTGTAGGATTCAAGCCTGAAATGTTACCGTCTTCAGTAAGTAACAAAATCAAAGTAATTTACATAACAAGACAAAACTAACATAAGAATAAGAAATATTATCGTAAAAAGTGTGATACTGCCGATCATGCCCTTTGTATTCCACTTGACACCTTTGGATAGCTTATGGTACAAATACACCAAACAAGCTGCCCCTAGTTCCATTCAATGATTCTCTGAAAATTGCTAAATAACCGCATGTATATGATATTAGTGTAAGTGACACTAGTGTCCATAAAAATCTGCGTACCAACCAGATACAAAAGATATGCCCTCATAGCACGTCATATGTGCTGGGCTACCTGCAGATTGTCACTATGGGCCTGTTGTGCACGCCCTAGCTCAGTTGTGAACACCCTCTGCAAGTAGCTAAATCTGACATGACACCCACGAGTTTTGTCGATCTCAGCCATAACACCACCCAGAGTAACTCCCAAGTACTACACCAACATATCCAGTGCCTCCTCTTTGGTGCACCTCCCATGATCTAAAAACCTCAGTCTAATCGAAAGGTGCAACAGACACACGACATTGTCCAGCGTGATTGTCATCTCATCATGTGGTAGGTGGAACAACGATGTCTTGTGATGCCATCTCTCGACAAACGCGTTAATCATACCATTATTAACGGTAGTATATCCACATAAGACCAAATCACGTAGGCCAGTGAGGTGCAACAACTCTTGGAACTAAGGCTCAACAGGTGGTACCGGGCGACTGATCTTCATAGCATGGTTAATTATCTTTAGTGGACCGCGGTCCTGCATACATAGATAAATACACGATACTTACATGAACACAATATTTAAAAAAAAGAAGGTAACTGGTACAGGCTGGTGGCCTCTAGATGGGCCTCTTGTGCTGCCTCTGATGTAGGCTGGGTGGAAACCGGTGTAGGCTGAGATGAAGAAGAGTCTCATCTCTCAAAGACCAGGGGAGGTGGAAAGGTATGGACATGAGAAGATGTATGTCTGCGGGAGGACGGAGGTAGAGATGGATGGATATGAGACTCTTGCTTGCTGGTCGACGAAGCCTAAGTATTCAGTACAACCGGCCTAGGAGCCTGAAAAGGCTGAGTCCTTTCCCTATGCACCGAAGCATGCTGTGAAAGTCTTTCGTGTCGCAATCTGGATTGTCTCTCATCCATAATACCTGTAGAAAAAACGAATAAAGTATTATACAGTCACTCTTGTTAAAAAAATAGTGAAAAAACTGTCTGCTGCATAACCAAAAGTATATTTTCGATTTTGGTCAAGAACAAAACCGGAGATACACTTCCGGTACGACCTACAATTTAATAGGTACGTCAATGGCAAAGTTCTTAGCCAATGGGGACAAAAAAATACATTGATCGTCAAAATAACACGGCTAAAGACTTCAAACATTCTAATAACTAAAAACAACTACATTTTACTATCCTAAAACACAATTTGTATGAAAAATCAAAATAACTCAATAATGTTCAAAAACAACTTACAATGATTCATTTTTCTTGGTTGATTCAGATTATGCTTGATGATTTCCTTATGTGTTGAGATAAATGAGTGTTTTGGAGGTTGGAGTTTTAGGGAGGTTTGAATTTTTGTTTTGTTGGAAATGAAGAAGAGGAAGAGGTGGTGCACATATAAGTTAAATTATAAATCAGAAATATATTTACGATTTGAAATCCGATTACATTTTCAATTCATATCAACGTGATAGGGTGTAGTTCCTCATAGTATTTTTTAGATTCCCTTGTAGTATAACAAAAAATGTAACTTCGATTTGAGAACCGCAAATATAATTCTAGTTTGTATGCTATTTTCATATATATATACATTAAGAAATCCTCTTTTTATTTTAGGGTTAGAAGTTAATAAAACAAAATAGAGACATTGTTTGTGACACAGTAGCAGCAACGTGAAAAAGCTACCCAGTCCGGTAGTCCCTTCTAACTTGGCGACGGTGGCAAACAACACGGAACCGAACAGTGCCATCGTATTCGTGACTCCGACGAACAACTTGTCTTAATATGATATCGTGACTCCGACTGGTAAGGCTCAACTCCGACATCGTAACTCCGACTGGTGACGGATCCGTAATCCTTTGTGTCTCGTGATCTGTTAACTATTGTTCTGGGATCTGAATTCCCTTCTTCACGTCAATTTACTAACAGAGTATTTAAAGGTGAGTGTTTGATCTTATAAGTTGTATAGCTCAGTGTTTGTTGAATCCTCTGTTGCTACTTTATGTTGCTCAGCTCTGTGTTTGATCTTTTAAGTTGTAGTTGTATAGCATAGGAGAGTTGAAAGGTAAATTATACTAATTTCCAACTTTTCATCACATAAATTATGCATATAGATATTTTATACAAAAGAATGTTATGGTTAGCAGCACTTAGCACCCAAATAAATAACAAGCTTGAAGTTTGTAAAAGCCTCAATTACCAATGTTGATATTATGCAAAATTAGAGTTAAGTACTTAATAATATTTTGTTATGCACAAAATTGGTAGTGGGTAATTATTTTGTTATGCACAAAATTGTCTACTTAATAATATTGGAATATATAGGCAGGCCTGGCCCATCTGGCTGCATGGCACATAAGGAACTGGGCCGAGCTCAATTTTATTAGCCCATGAAGTAATTGGGCCGGCCCATTCCATCCCATTTATATGTGTTGGCCCACCGGGCTGGAGTGGGGCCGGGCCATTTGACAGCTCTAGTTATTTATTTTTCTCTGTTTAAGTTATTTGTGAAATTCTAAACTTCAAATTCAATTGCTTTTGCTGTTTGTGGGGTGTGGAAAAAATGATTTAGGGTTTTGATTGGTGTCCGATGGTTGCCTGATTGGTGTAGAGGATTTAAGATTTAGTTCTCTTAATTGTGAGTTCTTTCAATTAGGATTTAGTTCTTTTGAGGTTTAAGTGTTGGAAATTTCTGTTTGGGTAGAATGGTATGCACACAAAATGTTTGATCAATTGACCGTGTGTACTTGTACGTGAATGCAGTGGCCGTATTCCTGAACTAGTGAGTTATTGAAACTTGAACACTAAGGTTGCACATAATTTAATGCGGTTGATTGTAGAAGGTTTTGTAGAGGACGGTGATGCAACATACAATCATCTAAGACCCTGAAAGTGTAGTAGTTGCAGAAATTCATCATTTCTTGATAGCATTGTTGAAGCAACCAGTAACATTTTGTTCAAAGATGAATCGTTTGACGAGGCTGCATTTGTTGTTGTAGCTAGAGAATTTGGATTTGAATTTTATGAAAGGACACATGTAGCTGTTTCACTTCATGAATGTGATCTCGAATCAAACATGAAATCTGAAAGGTATGGCTATTTAACTTTTTCATGTATGCAAATGAAACAAGAGTTATGTACTAAAAGCATCATTTTCATTTGTCCTTAACTTAAACATTATACACACATGGATGATATGGCAAGTTAGCAACTTAGAGACCAAAATTATACCAGAGTAGAAAGAATACTTCAATACCCTTCTAGAATACAAGATATGTCACAATTGAAGTTCATCACTAAGATTAGGTTTATGTCATTAGAAATCAATATCTTTTGTCAATATTTTCTATTCCCATTTATCAGGAGAATAATATATGCTTAAACAAGTAACCCTTTATTCAAAAGTAACTCTTCCAAACAAGGTTGATATACCTAGAAAATCTCTCATGGAAACTTGTATTTGTTGTTTCAAGAACTTGCATTTATTGTTGCAGAGAAGGCAATTGGAATGCAAAATTTTAGTAGGAAACATTGAACAAAACTCGCTATTGGTAGGTTTTGTTATACATACCATCACTTAATATTTTGTTTGATTGAATCCAATTATTGACCTGATATGCTCACAAACATGAGTAGTCAGTTGTCATTTGTCATTTTCAACAAATTTTTGTCAATGTCTTGTATTTTAAACATGAAATTGTGAGCAAACTATAATTGCGTTAGTGCGCTATATTGTTGTTGTGTTTGGACTACAACTTCACTTCATTGCTTTCTTTTTCATCATTGCTTGGGCTGTAATTATATTGTTGTTGTGACATTTGTTGCAAGTTTATATTATCAAGTCTAAATTGCGCAATAATATCAACAGACGCATGGTTCAATGACTTGATGGTATCTTATACCGAGTGGGAGATATTCAAGTCACTTGATGATATTGAAGAGGCCCTGCCCTAGCAGCATTCTTCATTCTGTTTTTGATAACGACGTCGTTTGCTATTTCTTTTGTCTTCATAGAAGAGGCTCTGCCCTATCAGCATTCATCAGTCTCCACTCCCGTCGCCGCCGTATCGGCACACCCGCCCTCCCTCAACCGCAACGTCTCCATTGTCTCCCAGAGAATGACGAATAACCAGTTGATCGTGCACATCCCCGACGATCCGCCACACGACCTTCACCACCAACCTACTGGTCACATCCTCTAAACCTTTTACTTCAATACTTTACTACTTTTCTTCTTTTCGAAATTCATCAAATTGAAACGGTGTTGTTTCTGTTATTTACAGTTACTGTTTTTGCTTCATTCATCAACCCAAAGCATGCCAACCAAATTGTTAGGTTAGCTTCTTATTCATTTCTTACTTTACATAAACTCTTTATCCTCTGTAACCTAATTCGCTTCATTTTATTGTTAGGCGTTTGAATCAGATAGCACCACTTGGTGATCTCCGTCACGTGAAACGAATTCGGAAAAAAGTTCTAGAAGGAGGTAGTTTTTCATTGCTAACTCTTCAAACTAGTTGCTACATCACACTGGTAACATACATTATGCAATTAAGGCTGAGTCAGTTGTGATATTGGGAATGTTTGACAGGAGAAATAGAGCTATCGGTGGTCTTGTGTTTGGCGAATGAAGGTGACAATCAGTTGGATGGTGTGCCACCTCATCTTCAGGAGATTATCAGTTCCTATCAGTTGAGTCCTTTTATTACAAATGTGAGTTTTCGTTTATTTTTTTGTTTTTCCTATTAGTTAATGCTAATGATCATCTTCAGGAGATGATCAGTTCCTATCAGTTGAGTCCTTTTGTTACAAATGTGAGTTTTTCCTAATGATTGTTTTTCGTTCATTTTTAACCTCCGCATCGGTAGTCACAAGTCAGAGCTAGTTGTTGAGTTTTTAAGTCAGAGCTAGTTGTTGAGTTTTTATGCATATAATATTATTTATTAAAAAAAAAGGCGAGGTTGCAGCCAAATGCTATTCGTTATCCTGCTACAACATTTTTTGAGCATGGCCGCTCTTCTCTGTTATCTGGGATTGACATAGCAGTGACGATGAGTTATTACTTATTTTAGTTTGATTTTTCGATTGTGATGAAACTGGAAGCTATCTGAAATTAATAGTGGTACTGGTATCGGACTATGGGTGGTCAATTACTTTTCATTTTCACTTGTGTAAATAATTTTATATTTTAGTGTATGATACTACTGTAACCATTGAAGATTAATCTTGAAGATCTCTTGTTTGGTCCTCTACATCTTGCTGACTTAATCATCCATTTAAAAGGGACAGCAAATCCTCAACATTGAAAAGAAGTAGTATTTACATGAATGGAGTTTTAATTTTACCATGTGTTTATCAAATTTTAATAATGCAAAGGTTTAAGACTAAACTATATTATTACTTAAATGTCCTTCCAATACCTTTTTTAGGGTCCACTACATGTCAAAACTAAGTAATTTTATTGATTAATTGAAGAGATCATTTAAAGTTTCGGTTGGGATCCTGAGGGCCTATGGTCCTTCTTGTCTGTAAGTTAGTTAGTTTAGTTTACACGCTAAATTCAACTTTTAATTATTTTAGGTCAGCAAATATGAAGCAACATCAAAAGAAGAGTGGCAAGAGCAATGCAAGTTTTGGCCAACGTCATATCATCCAAGAACTTAGTAAGCTTCAAGTTCTTATTCTCTTATTAATTTACTTTATTTTGAATATCATTGCGAGCTTTTATCAAAATTACAAAAAGTTGGTTTCATTTGAGTATTTGAAATTCAAAGTAGCTTAAGTATGAAATCTGTCATCAGAATATCAGATGAATAAAACAATCTATATCTTAAAACACGCACATGCACTGTTAAAAAGTCCAAGAATTATATTCTCAATTTGATTAAGTGATTTGGAAGATGCACATGGACTAAATACAAACGATTATATCCATCAGATGAGAGTTACAACTTACAAGTTAGAACTGCGTCTGGTAGTGGGTAATATTTACACTAGTGGGCTTACATAGATCAAAATGTTTCACCCTTGTATCTATGGCATCCAATCTGTAATTGTTTTCTGTCTTCGAGAATAACCCAGGCTTGTTTACTTTTTTATGATGTTTCCAGTAATTATAGTGTTTGGTGTATTAGATTTGCAGGAGATGATCATCTCTGACTCTATACCTTTTGCTTTATCGAGTCTCTTAGAGGATGACAAGAGATGTGTAACCACTCCTAGGGGTGTTTGCTTTTAGTTTTTGTTTCTTTTGTTGGGTTTCGGCCCTCTTCCCTTCCAAAAAAAATATCCAAAAACTTGTCTTTAACATAATAGTTGATTTTGCTTAAGATGTTGACTTTGCATTTTAATAAAATTACAGCAGCATTGATGGCATTACTGGATTTAGTGAGGAGGAATCACATTCAGTTTTGAAGTTTATGCAATCTGCAGTAGAGTTGGCAACATCTGATGGCTTGGTAAATGTACAAACTTGGCCTTTTTAATATAGATTATGACAAGAAATAGTGTTTTGACCGAACATGCTTATCTCCTGTTACTTTATTTCTTTTGATTATGCCACAACTTGAGCTATGTTCAGAGTTCTGTCCCCTCTTTCACATCACTTGCTGAATTAATAAAGCCTATTTTGGTTAGAGTTTCCTACTATTCAATTTCACATTCAACTGCTGCTTACCTAAAACTTTATCAATTTAGGTAGTCAATGCTGCAGTGATAGTGGATCCTTCGGTTAAGCAAATAATTTCAACTGCACGTGATCAAGTTTTTACTTGGAACACTTGCAAAGATGACAGCTTCTATAGAAAACCAGATTTATTTAATTTTCATCCTATTTCCAATAGATTGAATCCTCAGAAACCGATGCATTTAAGAAGTTCCTGCAATCATCTCAAACAGCCATTTACAAGTGTTGCTTGCCTATATCCTGGGCAATGGGCTGAGCAGCAATCACATTTACAGAGTTCATATTATTGTCATCCTTTGCGACATGCGGCCATTGTAGCTATAGAATCATCTGCTGCCAGGGATATACGTCTTTTCCCCAACGATGAGGGAAGTAAAGAAAAATATTTGCAATTAGATCATGAAAGTTATTGTACAAGCTCTCCTTCAAAGAGACAGAAAACTGTTTCTGCAACTGTAAGTTTACCTGCATACATCTGATATATTGTTTATTTTGTAAGGAACTTGGCCTGGAGACATAACAATGGATAATGGACTATATTGGTACTAGCAAAAATCACACGTAATGGATTGAGTAGTAATCTGTTAAATGCCCGTCAAATTTAACACTGGCAATATAGATGCATAGAAAAACAATTTGTTGTTTATTTCCAATTGAGTGTATTAAGTAGAAAGCTTTATTTGATATTGGTGACTTTTCAGGTTGAGGATAATGACAAATTGAATGCTCATAGTCAAGCTTCCAATCTGATTGAAGAGAATGATAAATTGAATCCTAATCTTCTGTCAGAACGGCCTTACTTATGCACTGGTTATGACATATATCTTGCTTGGGAACCTTGCACAATGTAAGACTGGAACTAGATTGTTCTATAAACTTTGAAACACTTCATTGTCTGTTGATTTTATTTAATGTTTGAATTAGTCTTGTTACCCGTCTATGAAGGTAATATGAGGAAAAGAAACTAGCTGTGAGTAACATTTTTATTCTCTTTTTTTCTTTTCTTCTGAAGTGCCTTGTAACAGATGACATGAAGAAATTCTCTCCAAATGTCACTTTCTGATGGTTAAAATTTCTTACTGAGTAGGAATATATGTTTTCTGATATATTTGCTTTCCACTTCAATGTCAGGTGTGCCATGGCCCTTGTTCATCAGAGAATTAGGCGAATATTTTATGCTTTTCCAAACCCTAAAACCGGTGCCCTGGGCAGTGTTCACAGATTACAAGGAGAAAAAAGCTTAAATCATCATTATGCTGTTTTCAGAGTTTTGATCCCTGAAGAAGCCCTCCATAAATATCATACGCCAGTTGCAGAAGCTGAAGAAACTGGAATTTGACTAGTCATTTATTAGCATATGCAACTTCTTAAAATTCAAGAGTGGATGAAGAGGTATTTTAGCTGTAGAGACACACACTATTTATCAGTGAATATTGAATAATTTTTCGAGATTAAGTAGTAGATGCACCTTAGGATTGTCATATTTATGTCAATTTTGAAAGCAAATTTTGTCCTTGTAGAGGAAATCAGGGCCACATTGACACTTGTACTGTTGTACGCTATTATGTATTCGAATTTTTTGCTTACCAATCTAATTCTTTTTTTTGTTGAGTATTTTGGTAATACTGAAAAGTGAAAACAGGTTCACATAGACATAGTATATGCTATTCTTTTTCTCACCCCAATGTATGTTTTTTGGTTTCTGTGATTGAAACCAACTAATATAGAATAGAAAATAGGAAAAAACTCTTTGAATTACATATTAAATTGCAAAACTTCAAGGATAACACTCAATGTCAAAATAGCCTCCTTTTTTTTTAATCAAATTCCAAAATAAATTATTCTTCTCATCTTCCCCTATTTATTTCAAACATAAACACTTCGATTTTTTTTGACAGGATAAACACTTTGAATTAATAAAATAAAACGGTTGCTAATAATATAATAATTATTCACTAATGTTCCTAATAATTTAATAACAATTACAAAAATTGAAGAGGTCTAACAATACTCTCCCTAGAGATTGACCTTGTCCTTAAGGTGGATAAAATGAGTGTCGGTTTCACAACTTGAATACTAATGTCTTGATCATATACACTATTTTGGGTGGTATGTTTAACCCAAAAACATAGCATGACAACAACAAGTGTACCAAAATCTATAAATTTGCATGAATCTCCTTTGCTCTCTTTCACTATACCTCTTATAATTGAATTCACGAATCACGAGAGAATTTTCTGCCCTTTTTCTATCTTTTCCCACCTATCTTTTCAGTTATCCTCGTTGGATTTGGATTTCCTTGATTAATGTCTTATAATTGAACATCTTGGTTAATGTCTTGCTCATGAACATCACATGATCCTTCAACAGTTAATGACTCTGATTCAATTTAAGGGTCATCTTGGTCAGAAGATATAGGTAATATGTCCTAATATCCTCCATGA